TTTTTTTGTGAAGCTTTAGATTATTCAACAACCCTTAAATTATATGTTTTTCAATACAAGTCGTCATAAATGTACACCAACCTTAAGCACAAAGCTGTTTTTTGGGGGGGTTGTCACTGTGGAAAGAACCCCTTCGGTCACTAGTGGTCCACCTTAGTTCTGTCCCACCTCCTTGAGAGTCACTATAAATATAAATTGTGATACTGGTAGGGGGAGGTAACACAAGACAGATAAAGTTGGTAAGAAACACTTGGGACTACAGGTCCAGATCATCTACGCAGGAGGAAAACGAAGGGAAAAAAAACCCCACAAGAGCAAAGAACAAAGAAGAGGACTGAAGAAGAGAGACTCAACAGAGATACAATCTAAAGGTACAGAACAGCTTCCACACAGAGCTGTGATTCTCTTTTGAGGGACACTCAGGTATGCAGAGGTACTTAGTATATAGGGTAGACTATGGCTATCAGGGGAGCAGGTGGAGATAGTGTCGGTCATCTAGGAAAGTGCCATTTGTCTCAAGGCTCAGACTAGGGTGGGAGATCGTGCCCAAATAAGGCCTGAGGGGAGGCCATTTGAAGTTAGAGATAGCATGTGCATGGCCATTTTCTACGGGGGACCCAGGTCTGTGGGACAGGGATTAGCAAGAAGGTGAGAATGAAAATAATTTCTAATTGTATGTTAAATTATTTTCATTACCACTCTGTTGTTTGTTTGAATGGTGCGTCTTTATAACTTTGAACTGCTTGCACACTTCTTTTCTAACACAATTTAAAGAGACAAAAAGAGTCAGCCACGATCATTATATGTTCAGCTTATTTGACGTATTTTTTTTTTCATCCAGAGAAAAAGTAAAAAGCTTAATTTAAATTTGATTGGCAGTATTTGTTAAAGTAAGCTTTGCCTGGTGAGCACAATAAAACAACACACAGGTTTGATTTTACATTTCATATATACATAAATATATATATTTTCCAATTTTTTGCCAGATGGGAGACCCAATCCAGTTAAAAGAGGAGGGAAATAAACACTTTCAGGCAGGCGATATTGACAAGGCCATTGAGTGCTACACTAAAGCCATCAAGGTGTGCCAGGACAAAAAAGTGCTGGCTGTGATTTACAGGAACAGATCTGCATGCTACCTAAAAAAGGTAAGCACTCTGATATGGGACCAAAACTATATCAAACAGATTACGCTTGCAGGTTCTCTGACAAACTGTCTGTGATTGTCTCTGTTTTTTCTTATAGGAAAACTATGCTAATGCAGCATCTGATGCAACTAAAGGTAGAGTAATACTTTAAGAACTTTGAACAGCTGTAAATATTCAGTCAACAGCAGAACAAAAATCCATAAATGAAAGTTAGTCATTAACTTAAACAATTTGCCCTCATCCATAGCGATTGATGTTGATGCAAAAGACATAAAAGCTTTGTACCGGCGCTGCCAAGCTCTGGAAAAGCTGGGAAAACTGGATATGGCTTTCAAAGATGTGCAGAGGTGTGCCACGCTCGAGCCAAAGAACAAAGCCTTCCTGGAGACACTCCGCAGACTGGGAGCAGAAATCCAGTCCAAGGTCAGCATTAGGCAGATACAACTGCACACAGAGGTCATGGCCATATCACCAAACAATGTAAAATGTAGTGTACATAGCAGGAGCTTAGAGCACATGATCATTTATAGTTGCATTTTTTTCTCTCCACAGCTGAAAACTTCATTTTCCACAGATTCGAGGGTACAAAACATGTTTGACATTCTCTTCGATGAAGAGAGCGAAAAGGACAAGAAGGAGAAGGTGAGGATTTTCTAAACTTCCTATTTCTATATTTGTTGTGGCAACAAAGATTATCTGTGATTTTCACACAGTTTTACTTCTTCAACCTCTAGGCCGCCAACAACTTGATTGTCCTTTCGAGGGAAGACGCTGGAGCAGAGAGAATTTTCCAGAATAATGGAGTGACTCTGCTACTCAATATGATCGAGACTGGCAAACCAGAAATGATCCTGGCTGCTGTCCGTACGCTGTCAGGAATGTGCACAGGACATAAGGCTCGCGTGAGTCATGGTGCATGCAAAGTGAAACTTTCAGCAACTCTTTATAAATATATAAAATTCCCATGCCCATGTCACCAGATGTATGATTTGCTTCCCGTTTTCCTTACAAAACCCTTTACACTTACTCCAACAGGCAATGGCCATCATTCAGATGGTGGGTATTGATAAAATGTGCAGCATCATGGCTCTTGACAATGAGGAGATTGCACTGGCAGCCTGCAACCTCTTCCAGTGCATCAATGATTCCCTCACTGGTGGAGATACACGAGAATATGGGAAAGAAGCAGACCTTGTTATGGGTATGAGAGAATAATTATGTGTAATAAGTATCGGTTAGATTGTCTACTTCTTTTTTCATCCTTACTCCTAAAACCACAGACTTTATTCTAAAAGGGCTCCTCTATTGGTGGTATTTTTCACTGTATTATTGACTGATGGACAATCTTTGATTTAATGTGTCTCCCCACAGATCCATCTAAAGACTTGAAAACTATTCTTCTTTCTCTGCTGGAGATGGTTGCAAGTAAAAAGGTGTCTGGCCATGGCAGAGACCAGGCATTAAACCTCCTGAGCAAGAATGTACCTCGCAAAGAGAAGAAGGAGATGGACCACTCCAAAAGCCTTTTCACTATTGACCATGGTGAGCCCAACACATGATTCCCTAACAGATTCCCTAACACAGGCTTTTTGAGTGATACTAATCATACAACATCTGTTTTTGTTTTTTCTTTAGGTTTGAAAAAGATCCTCAAGGTTTGTGGCCAGGTTCCTGAGCTGCCAGACCAGTTGCCCTTGACAGAGAATACACAGCTGATTGCTAGCGTGCTCCTCAACAAGCTCTATGACGACCTCAAGTGTGACCCAGAGAGAAACAACTTCAGGGACATTTGTGACGAATATATCAAGTATGTCCATGAAACATTCAGTGTTAATAAAGGCACTATAAATGAGGCCCAGCAAACATATCTTGTGTAATAATCATATTTTTTTTCTGTTCTCTAATTCTCCATTCATTTTCTAAAGATCCAAAATAGACCCCAAAGATATGGACAAGACCATTCATGCCATCAACTGCATCTCAGGTCTGCTGCAGGGACCGTTCGATGTCGGTAATGCTTTAGTTGGTCGGCAAGGCATCATGGAGATGATGGTGGCACTGTGCGGCTCAGAACGCGAGGTGGACCAGATGGTTGCAGTGGAG